GAAATATTCTCTGAAGTCACTTTAAATGTTATGACCACATTAAATGAAATAAAAACTAAGCATCAATAGTCCTGTCATCTGTAAGAACATAAGCATCTGACATTCAGAATCATGTTGTGCAATAACCAGCATTAATACTCAGCCTTAGTGTGGCTCCAGGTGAAGTCAAAGCAAATTGAATGGAAGCGAGATCAGCTAGGGAGTTTATTTTATGTAAAATATAAACATGTTAACAGGAGAAAATACTGTTTTCTTATGTTACAACCTTAATAACCAACATGATTTTTATCTTACAGTTCTGCAGGTGGTGCAGGGTTCAGTTACATGTACATGTACATGGTGATTAAAAAGAGCAGATATTCATCTGTACACATACCCCGAGTACTGTACGCTGTACTAGAAATCCAGTGTTTGTATGTGTCCCCAGTTGCGTGCCTCATAATTTTGCCACCTCTTATTCCATTTAAAAAACTAGCACAAAATTTAAGTCATTTTATTAGGATTGCATCATTTTGATAATTAGAGAGGGGACTATATATTTACAAACAGATACACATATTCAAATCCTCTGAAAAAACCCAACCCTTTCCATATTTAATCCCCTTCTCTTTCTTCTTCCTCCTACCCTGCATTCATTTTCATACAGAATGTGGTGGCTTTACTCCTAAAGCATCATGATAAGTTATGGAGCTTGTGTTAGGTGATGAAATGAAAGTTACTGAGACTAAAAAATTGTCTCCAGGAAAAGCACTGGCACCTGTAACATGGCTGCCTTGATGTTGCTCTTGCTGTTAGAATGAGAGTTGAGAAAGGACTAGGAAACAATTTAGCATGTGGCCAGAGTCCGGCGTGGGACATTTCAAACATGAATAGCATTGCAAATACAAAGCTGAGGTTTAAGCTCAGCCTCTTCAAGGAATGTGTACCTATTAATGAGATTTTGGGGAGTGGGGACCAAGGGGTTGCAAATACTCATTAATTATCTACTGCAGCAAGCAACATGTTTTGGTGAACTGCAAGATGTCTTCATCAGGGGCTTAGTCCTGCCACTTTGGAACCCTATGAGAAGGGTCAGGATTATCTAGAGGATGGAGGTTAGGAAGCTGCATGTCAGTCCAGCTTCTCCTATAGACCTACTGTGCTATTACAGAAAAGTAACTTACTCTTCTGTATTCTTACATACAGTGGAGTTGCCACCTGCAACAGCCTTCATCAGAAGCATTAGGCTGTTAAATTGACTGCTGTGAATGGCACACAAGTTAATTTATTTTACATAGTACAATAGTCCCAGTCTTGATAACCAAATGAAACAGAATTTATTAAAGAATTATAGCAACTCTGAGACCATGAATAAAGAGAGTTATTTGCAGTTTCATATTAAATCAGTCAGGCAAAGCCAGCAAGCAAACCTCCTACAGGGTTAAGAATCATTAGTATGTAAAATGGTGTGGATTTAGCCAGATGGTCCCATCAGGTGGGCACATACCTCCTGATAGGTGTTATTTGACCTGGTATGCAAAAGAACTGTGTTATCTGAATAAATCTTGTAGACAGGTTCAAGCAATCTCTTTGAAGTAATGCATAATAACTGGAAAGAAATTAAATGGGTGTCTATTGAGGCTTGCCAAGGACTATTTACATAGTAAGGGCCATATTAAATTGAGAAGCACCTCAGTATCAGAGCAGATGCAACAGGAAAAAGTTCTGGTCTTTTCATTGATTAAAGAAAATACAATATCTAAAGTACTAGGAATAACCCTTGCCTTAACAACACAGAAAGTCAGTGACTTTCTGATATGGACACCACAGATGCTGTCCTCTAAAAGCCATCATTTTACACAAGCACTTACCTTACTTCATTATCTCTTTGCTTTATTTTGGCCCAAGTGAAGAGAAAAAAGATGCAAAAATTTGCTCTCCTTACCAGTACGCACACAGGAGCCAAGAATAATTGTGGCTCGTCAGATTTTTCACAGTTGAGACTGAACAGAGCACTGATAAAATGGCAAAGAGAGCAATACCTGTATTATCAGCTGACTGACAGCTGACCCTGTGTCTGGTAAAAGAGAATTCTCCCGTAAGAATTGGAACTTCTCTAAATTCTAGCCATTGCTAACTGTGTCACAGATTGAAGTATTACAGTCATCCTCAGATGGGTTAGCAGGCAGAGAGCAAAGGAGGCTGTGAAATGTGTAGAGAGTGCAGCTCATCAAGTACACGCTGATGTGTGT